CGCCGCCACGCCGCCCCCCCGCACCAGCATTCGTCCGGGCACCGCCGTTCGGGACCACAGAGGACGAGTGAGTCTAAACGCCCTTGTCAGCCCAGGTGGCCTGAGTGTAAAACTGCGTTTGGGAAAACTGTCCCGTGGAAGCAGGTTTCAAGGGCCGGCCCTCGAGTTTGGTTTCACAGGCCGTTTCGTTTCAGCTTCACTTCCTGAAAGTCCCATGACCAATAACCGTGTATCTGTTCCTAAAACTAAGACTAGAATCCAAGGCTACCCCACCTCTTACAGAGAAATATCTGAGCTGGAAGACTCAGATATATAAGCGCACAGAGAGGTACCTGACACGAGAAGACAGGAGAGCAGTGCAGCTTCAGGAATGCAGGAAACCCTGCCCGCCGGCGTGGCTCGGTGGCTGGGCGTCGACCTATGACCCAGGAGGTCACGGTTCGGTTCCGGTCAGGGCACATGCGTGGGTTGTGGGCTCGATCCCCAGTGGGGGGCGAGCAGGAGGCAGCCCATCAAGGATTCTCTCTCATGATTGATGTTTCTATATCTCTCTCCCCCTCTCCCTTTCTTTCTGAAATGAGTAAAAACGTACTTTAAAAAAATCATTCTTTAAAAAATATAAGAAGCCCTAACCGGTTTGGCTCAGTGGATGGAGCGTCAGCCTGAGGACTGAAGGGTCCCAGGTTCGATTCCGGTCAAGGGCATGTACCTTGGTTGTGGGCACATCCCCGGTGGGGGGTGTGCGGGAGGCAGCTGATTGATGTTTCTCTCTCATCCATGTTTCTAACTCTCTATCCCTCTCTCTTCCTCTCTGTAAAAAAAATCAATAAAATATGTTTAAAAAAATAAAAAAATAAGAAATTATGAAAACCCCGAAAGCTAGCAAAGCTAGCAGGCGGTCTCTCCTCCGTCCCTTGTGTCCAAGGGTAACAGCCACACATTCCCACTTAGTGACTGACTAGCGGTGGGGAGACCCATGCAAATGGAAGTTACTCAGCAGGTGTCTGCACTCGAGGACACAGGCCACGCCAGCCCTCCCCGAGGGCAGGGGGACGCGCGGGGGCGTGGGGGCAACGCTTTTAGGAGGGTGAGTAGCCGGGAATACCTCTCCCCTCTCACTGCTCGTAGGACCCCCACTTGCTGTGAACAGCTCTGCCCTGGCAGACGCCGTCCAGGTTACTGTGGTCACTTCCTGTCCACGTGCCGACCTACGGTCCCCGACGGTGACTGCCCCGTGCCACGCACTCAGCGCATCTCTGTGGGAGGTTTACGTTAACACCCGCGTCCAGAGATCCGGGAGGCTCGGGGATGGCGCCACACATCTTGTCCGGGGGACACAGCTGCGGGGCAGCGGAGACGCACTCCCCGCCTCCTTCCCGAAGGAGAACAATCCGCCGACGCCTGTACTCAGGCCGCAGGTCACTCACTCACTCATTTTGTTAGTTCCCACCCGAGGGCATTTCCCCTTGTTTATTAGAGCGAGTGGAAGGGAAGGGAAAAGACAGAGGGAAACATCGGTGTGAGAGAGACACATCGACTGGTCGCCTCCCGCATGCGCCCTGACTGGGCCGGGGATCGAACCTACAGCCGAGGTACGTGCCCTTGACCGGAATCGAACCCGAGCTGTGACACTTGGGTGCCCGGGCAGATGCCCCAACCCCTGAGCCAAACCGGCCAGGCTCAGCGCTGACTTCCGCTGGGCATGAAGCCGAAGCTATTTCCTATAAACCCAGGACAGCAACGAACTAGAAATGGTGGGAAGGCCCCAGGCCCAGCTGCTGCCCAGCCCGTGGCTGTGGGACCAAGGACGCACCACCGGCCGTGGTACCTGACCACGTGGAACTCGGGCCTTCGATGTTCCAGCCGCACTTCCCTGTCCACTGACCAGTCGCTCCCTTGGACTGGTGGGTGATGAGGGAGCCCAGTTACTCCAAATCACACACGTCAGGGCAACGCCCCTCCCGTTGTCCTGGCCTGGCCGCCCGAGGAGCCCGCCTGCC